ATCATGGGATTGCTCTAGCCCCCTTCTCACTTAACTTCAGAGTTCCTACGGAACCCGAAGCCAGTGAGCTCCCAAAATGCCTCGTGCTAGGTAGGGATGGGAATATACATTTAAGGATCACTCCCCTGGGCGATGTGGGATGCCACAATCCACCCCCCTTAGGGGCTCGACGTCCTCGTTGGCACACATGTGGCCAGGGTTAGGTTCTGATACAAAATTGTCACATCCCGGCCCGGGGCGAATCACTTCCCGGGCATGCTCTACCACCGTAGCACGATATTGTCTGCTTTGGGCTTACCATTCCCTCACGGTTTTGTTTTTGGGAACTCACGAGCAACTTCCCAGTGGGTCACCCATCATGGGATTGCTCTAGCCCCCTTCTCGCTTAACTTCAAAGTTCCTACGAAACCCGAAGCCAGTGAGTTCCCAAAAGGCCTCGTACTAGGTAGGGATGAGAATATACATTTAAGGATCACTCCCTTGGGCGATGTGGGATGCCACATCTTAAGAGGCATGTAATGCTTGTTATAAAAAAAAATTTCACACGCAGATAATAATGTGATTAAATTAGTTGTCAAATGATTGTGTTTTTTTTTTTTTTAACAAACGATATTATCTACACTAAGGGAGAGAGAGTGGGTTTTGTCTCACAATGGGCTAACAATAATGTGATTCAATCAATTGTTTATTAAATATTATTTTCTCTATTCTTAATGTAAATTCTATAGAAATTAATTTTATTATGTGAATTCAATTGCTTTAATTGGTTTATGAGGGTTTCTTCTAGCATGATCTAAGATTATTCATTTACTTCAAATATTTGACTTTTCTTCTAACATGATTCAAATATTTGACTTTTCTTCTAACATGATTCAAAAAATATCTTCTGCACGCACGTGAGCACTTGCATGGAAGCTAGTATAACTTTTATTTCTTTAAGAATACAATGTTTGACAATCATCCCATGTTCATATACACAAGATTCTCCTTTAACCTTACTTTTTAACCTATTATGACCCTCGTAAACGCATGTAAATCTATAGGAAGCAGATCCTCTCCTGAGCAATTGCTCACAAAGCCAACGAATCAATTATTCATAGCCTTTCAAATTGATCCTACGACTGTTTTATCTTTCAAAAATTTTTCACGGAAAACAAGGCAATTTTGTTTGCCTTTTGCAATTCAAGCTCATTGTATCAATCTAAAGAAGTCACTATATGGCCTAAAGCAAGCTCCAAGAGGTTGGTACAATGAGATTGATTCCTATGTCACTGAGAAAGGATTCCAAAAGAGTCATAGTGAAGCTACCCTCTACACTAAATTAGAAAACAACAAGAAGACACTCATTGTATCAATCTATGTCGATGATGTAGTCTACATTGGAGATGATGAAGCAATGATTGCAGAATTCAAGGAAGAAATGATGAAGAGGTATAAGATGACTGACCTAGGCCTCTTACACCATTTCCTTGGCATTGTGGTAATTCAAGAAGCAAGTAGCATCTTCATTCATCAAAAGAAGTATGCTCAAACCTTGCTTGAAAAATTTGGTTTGAAAGGCTGCAAACCTGTATCCATACCCCTAATTGCAAATGAGAAACTCAAGAAGGATGATGGAAGTGAATCAGTGGATTCAAATCTTTACAGAAGCATTGTTGGTAGTCTATTGTATCTAACTACAACAAGGCATGATTTGATGTTTTCAGCAAGCCTGCTCTCAAGATTTATGCAAAATCCTACCAAGATCCACATGGGAACTGCTAAGAGAGTGTTGAGATATGTGCAAGGGACACTTACTACATAATCAAGTATGAAATGGGGAAGTCAACTATTCTAATTTGGATTTTGTGACAGTGACTGGGGAGGCAGTGAAGATGATTGCAGAAGCATATTAGGATATGCATTCACTTTTGGTTCAAGGGTTTTCTCTTGGGCATCAGTGAAACAATAAAGTGTTGCATTGTCCACAGCCAAGCCAGAGTATGTGATTGCCTCAGAGGCAACATCTCAAGCCATCTTGCTGAGATTTATACTCAAAGACTTTAGAGAATTGCAAGTTGATGCCACAATACTTATGTGTGACAACACCTCAGCAATCGCCATGACTAGAAACCTAGTTTTTCATTAGTGAACAAAGCACAAAAGAGGAGATATCATTTCATCAGAGAAGCATTGCAAGAAAATACAATCAAGCTACACTACTGCAAAACAGAAGATCAAATTGCAGACATTTTCACAAAAGCTCTTCCAAAGAAAAGATTCAATTACTTGTGGGGATTGCTTGGCATGACAACCAAAACCAATTCAGAGGGGAGTGTTGGAACCTAAATTGCTTTTGGTTCCAAAGATCGAAGGCAGCAAGTGAAGTTCCAAGTTATGAGCTGCTCAATAATCAAAGAAGAAAGAAGAAGAGCGAGGGTTTCGATCCTAACTGCTAGTTTCTGTTTAAAGTTTTTGATTATGTAAAAGAGCGACAAGTGTACACTTCATATTAGATCACTTAAAACCCGAATGAAGGGCTAGGATTAAATATGGAGAATGCTAAGTTTGCGAGTTGGCAATGTACCAGGAACCCCAATGCTTCCCTGTGACTGGATTTTCTGAAGAGTTCTGAGCTTTAAAAAAATTTCTTGCCCTTCTGAATAACTACTTCCAAAGGATGCTCTTGATATTATTTCTGCTGTCAAGCTTCTCAAATCGTCATCAATTCTAAAGACAGCAATCCCTCCCTCGCTATCAATTTGACGCTCCTAAGATCTTAACATTGTTGTTGAGTCCACCATCAAATCAATCGTGCCCTTGAAACTAAACATTGAATTTTGGACCAATTTAATTATAATTAGAAACAACGAAATGCATACAAAACAGAAAAAGAAAAATAACTTGAAAATTATAGTACGTATGTGATGCGGTGATATTTACCTTAACCTTATCTAAGTAGAACTCAGGAGCAATAATCTTCCTCTGGTTTAACCAAATTGGGCCACTTGAAGATAGAATGCATTGGCCTAACAGTGGCTTGCAATCCTTCGATAGCAGCTAAACAGGCTTCCCTAAGTTCAAAGATGTGCACATGCTAACTTCCTTCACCATTACTAAATCCGTAACGCTTAATTGTGGTATGCTTCCTGTTGAATAGGTGAAGTTTGGCCCTGCCACCAATATACATATACCTGACAAGCATAACAAAAGCATAATTTTTAAGCAAAATCATCCACAAGGCAGCTTAAGTGCTTGTTTCATTCATCTAACAACTAACTAACCGGTAAAATGGAATCATTTATGCTGCTTTTAGAAGGACGTGCATTTGAATACTAAGTACCTTTTGATCCCAATAAAAGCCAAAATAAATCTTTTCTCTTTTATATTTTTAATTTTAGACCAACACTAACCAAGAGATAATAAAGAAATTAGGCTGACAGAAAAAGGTGTACCGTAGTCATTACGCCATTGCACCAGATGAGGGAAAAGAGTTGAAGGCCAATCATGATCAATGCAAAGATGGTGCCCCATTGATTCTGTAGCTGATGACTTCTCCATCGCCTTGAGTTTGAAGTTCTTCATGTCCGGGATATTTCTGAAGACGAAGATAAATGATGAAGGAGATGCCCTCTCATTCCTTGCTTCCCAAGCTTTGATCTTGGCCTCTTTGGCTTTAAAACCAATGAATCATGAATGTATAATATCAATAGCAAAAGGCCACCTAGAAACACTGATAATATCCTCCTTGCTGCTGCCATCGTTTCTTTCTTTCTTTCGTCCTTCCTTCTTTGTTATGAAGTCCTACTTCTGAATGGCCCAGCCGATCTTTCGGGAAAAACTAATATATTAGATATATAATTGAATCGTATTCACCATATCAAAGACCTACTAACAATCTTAAGATGGAAAAGATAGATGAGGAAGAGAAAGTAAAACAGAAAACGCAGATGAGAGAGAGGGAGGATCCCAAACCTTGTTTGAGTTTTCTAGAGCATGTTTCGTATCCTCTTAGATTCAATTTTTAGTTTTCAAAAATAATGAATGTAGTTAAATTAATTAGTACTCATTAGTATTTAAAAAAAAAATTAAGATTCAAGAAGCCTACCAAACAGCCCCTAATTTCTTTTTATTTTCCAAATGTAATTTTATTGTTAACTTTTGAATTCTTTAAATAAATTGATGTTCAAATTAATTTTATTTCTTTTTATTTTCCAAATGTTATTTTATTGTTAACTTTTGAATTCTTTAAATAAATTGATGTTCTAATTAATTTTGATGATGATAAAGAGATATTTCTTTTAAACTATTAGTAAGTCTGATGAGTTGATGAGTCTGATTAACTGTGACTACGGGTGAGGTAAAATTCCTCATTGGAATAGGTGGATAACTATAGATTATCACTAAGGATCACCTTTTTAAAAAAAAAAAAAAAAAAAAAAAAAACAGAAAATCTCTGAAACTATTGGTTCGTTAAAAGTAAAGGTCAATTAAATCAAATTATTCGGATTACCTCAGTGGTGACAATAGGTGTAGGGTTATGAATATAAGTAATGACTAAATTTTTTTTTAAAACATGAAAATGACATGGTGCAATGTCACGATTTTTCTAAAGTAATTCGGTTCATTTTATGACTTCAACATGTTCGAACCTTAGAAATATGAATAAATTGATGCAACTTCATTAAATTTGAGCAAATATGAATAAATTGATGCAACTTTGCTAAATTTGAGCAAAAATATTGGCTGAAGTACAGCCCACCCGATTCTCAAATCCTAGTTACATCCTACAAATCGCGAGCTTGTTACATTAATAAAAACAACAAAATTGCTATTCTTATCATCTAGTTGTACCATCATTTACATCGTCTCTTTAATAAAGATGGTATTCACATGCATTAACATACCCTACCTCTATTAGAAAGATAGTACAAGTGATGATATAACTAGACGGTAAATGTAGGACTACTCAAAGAAAAACAAACAATCACAAGAGGTCTTGCATGTTATTCAAATATATGTGAGAAAAGTTAAAGAGTTTGCAAATGATCCATTTCCGCATTGCATCCTTATATCGCGATTAAAGAAAAAAAGTTTAAGAGTTTGCAGATGATCCATTCCCACATTGCATCCTACATCGAGATTATAAGAAAAAAGTTAAAGAGTTTGCCGATCTATATGCCCTATGGTAAAACCGACCGTTGGCGACATATTTTTACACTCTCCTCACATGAAGATTTACACCATTTCCAGGTTCAATAACCAAGCTAAAAGCTGGGCAGTGTTGGTATGTGGGCGAGAGTGCGAAGGAAAACTGGGATAGGATAAGAGCCAGAATCACCTTCAATTCTGTCATGGCAAAGTGTTGCCCCACGCAAACGCGAGCACCCACTCCAAATGGCATATAAGCTTGAGGAACCTTGCAAGCCCCAAGAACTCCATTCTTGAATCTTTCTGGATTGAAATCGAGGGCATCGGGTCCCCATAGATCAGGCAGCCGCTGCAGTATTGGGATCGGAATCTGAATGTTCATTCCTTTGGGAACTATAATGTCTTTGAGCTTAATATCTTCCAAAGCTTGTCTTATGACAAACACGGCTGGTGGGTACAGACGCAATGTTTCTTGAATCACCATATTCAACTGCCAAGATATACAAATAAATTATAAAGATTTTAGAATGGACTTCTATAGAACTTTTGTTTAAAGGAATATATTCTTATTGCAAATATGGAATTCCGTATGATATTTTGGACATGTTTGAGAGTGCATCTATATATATATAACTATAAAATGCTTTTAGTCAATAGTTTTTTTTTTTTGTTAGAAAGCAGTGGTTTTGTTGGAAGCATATGAAATGTTTCAACTAAACTCGAGTTTTTTTCTGACCCAGAATGGCTTCTTGAGAAGCACTTGCCATGTACTTCTCCAGGAAGCACTTAAAGTCCTTACTTTTGTCGATTTATGCCAAATGCTACAAAAAGCAGTTTTGCCAGAAAGAAAAAACTATTCCAAACAGGACACTAGCAAATACATGTAGTGAGTAAAATTTAGAAAGATTTGTATATGTGCGGTAATGTAACATACTGTTTTCACGCTTCGAAGCATATCAGCATCTGGAATAGCATCCCCGCAAATCTCTAGCACCTCAGCACGAACACGTGCTTGCCACTCTGGATGTGCAGCTAATAACATCAAGCTCCATGATGCGGTGATGGCGGTGGTCTCATGGCCAGCGAAGTATATATTTTTGCAATTATCTACAATAAACTTTTCTTTAGAGACACCAGTAGAAAATAGACCATCTGCATCGTCATAATTTTTGGCTCCCTCAAGTATCATTTGCAGAAGGTCCTTCTCATCAGTAGCCTCCATACTGTGTTTGTTTGCAACCCTTAATATCATTGAGCGGATATCTTTCTCTAATCTCCATATCTCTCTGTTGCTTTTTGTTGGCAAGTATCTATATCGATTGGGCCATTAACGGAAGCATTAGTACGATACGAATGAGGAATTTGAAGATATAGTGGGCATATTGTACTGTATTTTGCTAATGACATCGCAGATACAGGTGTGACTTACATTGGAAAGATTATAATAGATACTTGCTAATGAAAAACAACGCCGCTTGTTTTTGTTTAAGTGACCATATATCATAATGCAGTAAATGCAGCACAACTTAAACAAAAACCACTGCAACAATACCCTATTATGGTTATTAAATAAATGAAGTACGATCATTTGAGCGTCCTTGTAAAATATATACCTTAAGCCAGGAATCCCAATGTTTCCCAGCTGGGACATGACTTTTTGAAGAGTTCTGAGCTTTAAGAAAATTTCCTTCCCTTGTGAATAATCGCTTCCAAAGGATGATCGTGATATTATGTCAGCTGACAAGCTTCTCAAATCCTCATCAACTCTAAAGACTGCAATTCCTCCCTCTCTTTCGATTTTACTCTCCCAAGATCTCAACAACGAGGTGGTAGAGTCCACCATCAAATCCACCATACCCTTAAAAGATATTTGCAAGCATAAACATTAGTCATACCGAAAGCAAAAAAAAAAAAAAAAAAAAAAAATTATTTTCTCAAATACATTCGAAAGTAAATTAATCAAGTTTACAGCTTCACGCAAACACCAAACTGAAGGCAATCTTTTACTACTAAACTGAGTGATTTACCTTAACCTTATCAGAGTAGAATTGAGGAGCAATGATCTTCTTTGGTGGGACCAAATCGGGCCATTTGAAGCTAGAATTCCTTCGCCTAACAGCGGCTTCCGGTCCTTGGATAGGTAAGCTGGCTTCCCTAAGTTTAAAGATGTGCACATGCTAACTTCCTTCACCATGTCTACATCTGAAACACTTACTAGCTGTATGCTTCCAGTTGAATACATGAAGATTGACCCTGCCACCAATTACTACTAATTAGGCATGCATGTATAATCCAACAGCACAAAGACGGCCAAAGAGAAAACAGAGAAATAAAGGTAGTGTGATCTATGGGAATTACCATACTCATTCTCCACTGCACCAGATGAGGGAAGATGGTTGAAGGCCAATCATGAGAAATACTAGTTTCTGGAGATCTTGAATTCTTCAGCACCTTGGCTTTGATGCTTTTAATTTCTGGGATATTTCCCAAGAGAAATGATGAAGGAGGAGGCCCTCTGATCCCTTGCTTTTCAAGCTTTGATCTCTGCCTTTTTGGCTTCAAAACCAAAGACTCGTAGAGATATAATAGCAATAGGAAAAACCCACCAAACAAAACTGACAATGTCATCTTTGCTGCTGCCATTGTTGCTTCTGTTTTCAGCTTCTTCTTTTCTTTCTACCCTTCCTTTTTCGTTTTAATCCACCTATGTTTCTGCTAGATATTCAGGTTTTTTTAATTTCTTTTTTGGTCTTTAGTACATTTAAAGTAATAAGATTCCTCTTTCTTTTGTCAATTAACAATTTAACACTCACAGGATGGATTAAGACAAGTTTGTACAGAACTTGCGACCAGGACTCGTGGTCTTCTTTTTGTTTTTGGCCTCTTCTGAGTTTCTTTGCAGTGTAGCACCCACTACATGTTATTCTCTTTTCGGCTAGTCCTGAATCGGCACCATTTGGACTCCAGTCTGATAAAGAGGAATAAAGTATGCACTGAAGGTGAGGTATTCTCACGTAATCGGTAACGCTACATTAAAAATATTTCTTCGAGTACAATTTTTCAAACTCAACCACTCGAGAAAAACTTATTCTAAGTGGTAGTTGTAGTACCTACGTAGCAACGACGCTTTTGTTATAGATATGTATTCCAGCTAATGAAGGTAGCATGACTCCAATGCTCCATCTCCATCAACTTCTTTGCAAAATGTATAAATCGAATCAACTCATTCAAGGCTTACTCAGAACCTTGAGTGAGTAAATGAAGATTCAAGCAAACCAACACAAGTTGTGCTTGAATCTATAAGATATACTATCCTATATGAATCCAAATGATATGAGAATAAAAATTCTTTCAATATGCTGAGGTGTTTGAACTGTAAAGTGATGAGTCGATATTATTATATATATATATATATATATTACCTTATTCTTAGCTATAATTTATTTTCCATTTTGGTAAAGTTTTGATAATTTGTGCTATATTTTGTTTTAGGACATGCGAATTTATTTTGAGCATAGAGTGATGAAATAGATGTTGGAACCAAATTCACGCGCCGTGAGTGATGGAGATGCTCAAATCTGTTTACCTATAAAAGGACACACAACCATAAATAAGCCTAGAACCTGGGGGTGTGCCAGTCAAAGGCTCTCAGATGACCATGTTAGTGAGCAATATTAAGACTAAAGAAATACGCAAGAGAAGAGAATAAGTGTGCAGAGATTGAGTGACCAGAGATGAATCCTAGAATAATGTCAGTCGAAGAGAGAACCTTTTAGGGTAGTAGAATCTGTATTAAACTGGAAGAATCCATGAGGATATCTAGGAAGTAGGTACTGTATCCTCATGAATGTGATTACTAGAGGCGCACGCCAATCATTAGATTGTAAGGGCTCCAAGGTTATAGGAAACATATTGATTCCATACTGGATTAGGTACCTGAATCTTGCGAGACAAGAATTGTCCTATCTCAACAAAGTTGACAAACTTCGCCCACTGATTTCGAAGTAGGATGATGGTGACATCGTTGATCCGTTTAATTAATCAGCTCTGCTATCCATGACCGGACTTTTGAGGTAGGCGTACTTGGATCCAACTTCTGTCTAGGAAAATCATGGTCCCACTACGAAGAAACTTTTGGAGTAGATTTGTGAGTCTTTCAATATGATAGTGTTAAAATTTTAGATTTTTATTCCATGCCGTTTGACCCTAGTGGAGAAAGATCTTGCTTGAACCGTTTATACTACAACTACTTGTTCCCTTGCAAGTATTTTTTAGGTGGCATAAAAAAAAACCCCTAAAAAAAATTGAAAACCTTTCAAAAACCAATTCAAGAATCAACAGCCATGAAATGAAAGGATTAATAAACAAACTCAATAAAGTGATTTGAGAAGTCTCCTACAAAGAAATAGATAATTTTGAATATCAAGAGTGATTTACAGATCGATTTATGAAGAATCAAACAAATACGAAGCTCAAATGGTTAGATTCATATAAGAGTCCAGAAAACTAGAGAGAAAGTTATTGTCAATGAAAACAATCAGTACAGACGAAATCTCTTAATCTCTATACTTAATGAAATTGTGGTGCATGCTTTGCATGAAATAGCACCAGAGAGAGAGAGCAACGAAGCTTCTCACCTTTCTCACGCAATGCAGTTACAAGTCAGGGTAAATGAGAAATTTAAGAAAGTAAAACATCTTGCAGTTAATGATATGTTACTGGTTACAGCAGTGAAAGGTAAAATGACATGTGAAATGCACATGCAATGCATTATACTTTTGCTGCAAACCTTGGTTGGATTGACATGCCGTTACCCATTTCATCGCAACTTTGGACGGATAGAAGCATGGATTTTGTTTTGAGTTTGTCTGGCATTCAACGTGGTCTGGGCCCAATTTTTGTGGTGGTCAATTGATTTTCAAATATGGCTCACTTTATTACCTTGCTACAAGAAGACAACAGATGTTTCAAAAGTCGCTATATTCTTTCATGAGGTGTACCGACTTCATGGTTGCCAAGCTCAATTGTTTCAAATCGGGACACCAAGCTTCTGAGTTTTTTTCAAAGGAGCTTGTGGAAGTTACACTATCGCCTATCACCCTCAAAAAGACGGGCAAACTGACATTGTGAATCGCTCATTGGGAAACATTTTTACGTTGCTTAGTGGATGAAAATCTCGAGTCGTGGGATCAGAAGTTATGCATTGCAAAGTTCGCTTACAAGCCTTTCGTCAATTGCAGCACTGGAATGTGTCCTTTCTATATATTGTATATGGCTTAATTTTTGCAAGCACCAGTTGATCTTGTTTATGGCCCAGACAAGAAAAGAATTAGTAGCAAGGCAATAACTTTCACTGATAACATCAAAACAGGTCCATAGCATGGCTCATAAATGCCTTCAAGAATCAAGTTAGAAATACAAAAGCTCATACGATTCCATACGGTGCAGGGTCGAGTTTGATGTAGAAGATTTTGTTTCGGCTGTTTTGTACAAGGATCGCTTTTCAGCTGGAAATTACAACAATTTGTCTGCAAGAAAAATTGTGCCATATGAGATTTTGAAAATAATAACCCAAACGCTTATCGCCTAAAGTTACCAAGTCATATTCGTACATTTAGTGTATTCAATGTGAAACACCAGGTTCCATTCAAAGGTGACACTGAGGAGAACAGACCTCCAAATTCGAGGGCGAATTTTATCTAACCTGGAAAAGGATGTAAATGTGCTGGCAATACATTCATGGATCGTTAGGATACACATAACTCTTGAGGATTGGAAAGGGTCTTAAGTATTTCAATAAACCAAGTGGTGTGTTAAATAAGGTGCTGCTCAGATTTCTGATTAACTTTTGTAGTTTCAGTTTTCTGAGGGCTTTAGTTGAAGCTTTATTTCATTTTGTCTTTTTAATTTTTCTGAATGTAAATTATAAATGCTATAAATCCCACTTCTTGCTGGAAGTAAGGTCGAATTTGGATGTTTTGATTAATGAAATCTTTAGACTGCTTTTTCTGTGTTTAGTGCCTTTTTCTTGTGAGATTGTTTGGGGTTTTGGAAATTTTAGATCTCTCGTCGCACTAAAAGATAATGAATTCTAAATTTCAATTTTCATTTTTCTTTATTTAGTTTCTTTTTGCCATCACCTTGCATAATTTTCTTATCTTATGAACAATCTCATTCTATAACAACCTTAGCATGAGATTGCAAAATATATTACCGAATATAAAGAATTGCCTCGTTATTTTTGGGATTTTAGTTAGAGCTATTTTAACACCTATCTTTAATGATTAGTTGCTTGTAATTGCGATATAGCTTCTAAGTAACTATTTAGTAGTATATATATCGTTATAACAAGTTGATGATCATAATCTAAGATTTCATATTTAGGCACTTTTTTTTATAAATCTCCCGTTTAGGCATTAAGCAGCTAGCCACCACCTTGATTAATTCCTAAACTTTTAAAAATTACGAAAGGGGCATAGACCAGCCTAGGTGTTCGTCTAGACCCGTCTAGGTTGCAACTCTAACTTAGACATAACATAGATGACTTTCATTATATTTTTTATTTTTTAATAAATTGTACAAGACTTGTTGAATAATTGGATAAACACTCATTAAATGCTTGTCTCATGTACTTTCAATATGTTCTGATATTGTATAATCTATATGTCATTTTATTTTACAATTTATGTATCCCAATATAATACGTAATTTTTTAGGGACGTTTTGATGTAGGCGCCTCGTTTTTCATTTTTGTTGATTAAACATTTCTTCCTTTCAAGAATTTGATTAAGCATTTTTTTTCTACAATTTTATTTGTGGTACGTTTGATTTTATGATTGTTTGATTATATTGGTAAGTTTGATTAACTGTAATATGAGTACATTTGATTTTATGGTAAATTTTGTTTCTTGGTACATTTAAAATCTAAACGTACCAAAAATCGATACATTTATTTTTAAATGTACCATAAGTTTTAAATACATTTTTATCTATAACTATACGTAAAATTTTGAGTGGAGTCGTTCAAAAAGAAGTCTTTACGGCCCTAGACAAAGGCCACAAACGCTCCGATTAGAAGATGCGATTACGAGATAGAAGTTCAGGGCCGAAGAGGTAGAGATAGACCTATGAAGACTTGAAAAGAGACTCTACAAAAAGACCTTGAAGTACTTAGATCTAAAGGAAAATGTGGCATATCACGAGCGCAATGGTATTTTAGGATTCATACAGCCGACTCCACTTAGTGGGATAAGACTTTATTGTTGTTATATACGTAGAATTTTATCAAATTAAAGAAGTTTTCTTATGAAAGTGTTAATAAATTTTTTTAATGAAAGAATAGACTAATTAAATATAATAAGAGAAACATAAAGTTACACTTTTTTTAATGATAATGAGGAATTAGTTAACTTAATGTTTTTAATAAAGCCACGAATTTAAAATTTGTCAGCTAACTTAATGGATATATATGTGTGTGTGTATTTGAACAAAAATGGATAAATGTGAGGAATCTTAATTACTCCATTTTTTATGTATAAATGCACCTTTATTTATATGTTATACAATAAGTTTATTTAAATTATTATTTTTAGAAAAGCCTAAGTCTCCTCATGCGCCCCGCCTAAATGTCTTGGCCCTAGGCCATGCACGCCCTTTAAAACTTCGCCTTTGAGGCATGTTTTTTTTTTCTCGCTTTCTAAACTCATTGTATCTTTATGAGTGGCTTCTTATACTCGATTAGAATTTTCTTATCTGCCTATCATCATTCTCATAATTATACTCATTAGACATGAAAAAAAAATTTGATCGCATTCTTTAGACTCTAATATGCGAACCAAACGAGCCCTTAAGCAATCTTCAGCTGAAAGAGGCTAAATATAGTTCTATTTAGAATTATAACTTTGTAAAAATTTATATTTAAATGAATAGTATCAGACCATATTTATATATCATCTCTAACTGGCTAAAACATAGCCCTCAATAATTTTATTATTTTTAAGTTTTTCTTTAACTTTATTGGTTAATTAATTAAACTATCACATTAAAAAAAGTTATCCGAACATATCTTGAGTGTCATTTATCGCTAAAAGAATGTGAAGAATAGTGTAGAAATACCATAGGCATTTATAGAAGAAAAAAAATTAATAAAAATTTAAATCTTTTTTTTTTTTTTTTAAATTCCTTCTGACAGCTAACTTCTACAAAAACCAAAAGGTATCAATTATCAAATTGAAAATGTTATTTTGATGCCTTCGAGCAGCCCACTCTGATGCTTCTTTTGTAAAACATTATGTGGAAATAGTTTTAGCATGTTGATCACGCTTGGGTCCATCTCATCCATTGGAAAACATTGCAGAGGATGGCAAATCGGGCTTCGAGTGGGGCTGAAAGTAGCCAGCCCGTTCCTTTGGACAATTTTTGACATGTTGGGTTACTTTTTGCGCTGCTTTTTATCGGAGATGAATTTTTTTTATCAGAGCAGTTCTAGCGGGAGCTCCTGCTCGAGGGACGGGCTTCGAAACAGTGCTGGATTGCCTGAGGGAGGAAGTCCAGCGTTGTCTGGCGAGGGAGCTCGAGCAGGCTCAAGCGCCAGGCCGTCGATTCGTGCCGGTCCTGAGCGCCCGGAGGCAATCTAACGTGGGCTAACGTTAGGACGATGTCTCCACGCTTTTTGAGGGTCACGGAGACGTGAGTTCTGACGAAACCGAATTTGACGGCTAATAGATGTTGCTGCTGCTAGTTCAAGGCAGCCGCGGTGCTGGTGAGCCTGAGCTCGCTTCAAGGCGCCATGAGAGCATTAGAGATGTGGGCTCCTATGTCGGGACTCATGTTTTGGGCAGTGGGCAATCGCTCCAGAGCCACACTGAAGCAGAGCTCCAGAGCTCGGCACTGCAGAGGGTGGGAGGAATTGGGGTGAGATTTGATGCATGCTTGGCGGAGGAAGCCGGTGGGGGAGGACAAAAGGGTTGCTGCCATGTGTAGCGGCGTTGTCTGGCCGTGGTTCAGTCGACCCACTTCGGCAATCGAGTGGTTCAAGACGCTCGCCGCCTCTGGGGTTAACGTTTGCTGGATCGTACTATTATTTTTTAAATAAAAAAACTATTATTTTATTGTCTATTGCAAGGGCTATTCAAGTGCAACAGTAGAGATACAAAAGGCAGTTACTGTTCATTAAGGGCAGTTACTGTTCCCTACGTGGATTGAATAGTGAATAGCTTGGAGGTAGAGCTCCCACACTGGAGTTGCTCTCAAAACGGACCATTTTTTAGCATTTAACCTTTTAGCCATCTCCCCTTAAAACCTAAACTTCAGACATCACAATGTCTCAACCTTGGACCCGCATTAGGTCAATGATTAATTGCAGAGCTCGAAACTTGAAAAAAAAAAAAAAAAACATACGGCATAGACCTCAAACTCGAGACCATGAGCACAAATTTATGTTCCTGCACTCAATAAAGAGCGAAAATCCTACATCTTATTTTCGAATTAAATGTCTACACTTTAAAAGTATTGATTAAAAACTTGGTTAAGACTTGAGATTTAAGATGTAAAACTTTGAATTTGGAACTTAAAATCGCATGACTCAGATCCAAACTCAAGGCCCGGACATGAGACACATTAGCCAAGATTTCAGAGTTGAATTGAAAAAAAAAAAAAAATTTGCTCACCATCTTAAAGTAATAGTGATGCTCATTGCTTAATTGATTACCGTTGGATGAGTTTGATTTAGTATATCAACTTCATAAATCTCAAAATTTAAATTATGGGTAAAAAGGGTAGTGTCATCCAGAAACTTGCTTTTACTTCTCACACATTCTTCTCAATTTTAGGTCATCGAATCAAATAAATTGAAGAAGATTAACGAGTCAAAATTAACAAGTGTGCGTGAAATGTAAAAATTAGTTTGAGTAGCATTTTTGGTAGAAAAAATACACTTTTTTTTTTAATACAACGATATATTTTACATTAAAAAGAGGAGGAGTTCGACTAAGCCATCAATGAGTAACCTAATTTGGCATCGACTTCGTCTACAAGATTTGAACCTATGACCTTTTGTTTAATAGTAAAGATGGATATTAGAGGTGGTTCGGTCGTTCGTCGTTTTTTGCGAAACCGGAACCAACCAAAATTATGTTCGTTCGGTTTTTATCGGTTTGGTTGGTTCGTTGTAACGGTTCTCTCGAAAACTAAAAAAGTATTGAACCGAGAGAAACATATAATACAAAACTTATATGTATTCAAAACTTATAGTTTACATTTGGAATTTGGAATTTCATCATTTTTTTAAGTATACATTTGGAATTTCATCATTTTGTAAAATCCAAAACTTATATGTATTCAAATACAGAAACTGAGAAACATATAATACAGAAACATGTAAAATCCAGTGGACTTTGTAAAAGCCAATGGGCAGTGGACTCGCGTCGTCAGTCTCACTCACTCTCCACAGAAACATTAATCCACTTAGTTTGTTGAAATCAAGCATATATCAAATACATAAACATATATTCTTCAAGTAATTCAACTAAAATTGCTGTCCCAAATTCATTCTGACTTAGTTTATCCCAAATTGTTGTCCATATTGACAACAAGCACAGTTTTACAACATTCATTCTGATGTTAAAGTCTTTAACATCAATTATCAAATCAAAATCAACATGTATAAATAACCAATTACATTTACAATTTCTGAAAGGTTCTCAAAAGTTTTCAAAACCAACAGGCAACTGGCAACAGGTTCTCAAAACCAACAGGCTACTGGAACTGGCAACAGGTTCTCAACATGTATAACCAAACCAATTACAATTTCTGAAAGGTTCTCAAAACCAACATTTCGAAATCGAATATTACAAATTACAATTTCTGAAAGGTTCTCAAAACCAACATTTCGAAATCGAATATTACAAATTACAATTTCTGAAAGGTTCTCAAAACCAACATTTCGAAATCGAATATTACAAATTACAATTTCTGAAAGGTTCTCAAAACCAACAAGGAAATAACCAACAGGTTCTCAAAATCCCAGTATAACCAACAGGTTCTCAAAATCGAATATTACGAATTCAGAAATTGAATATTACAGTATAACCAACAGGTTCTCAAAAGTCAAAATCCCAGAAAACCATCAAAATCTTCAATCACGAATTCACGATTCACAACAAAGAATAATTAATCAAATATTACAAATTTACAATTTCTGAATTCTGATTATGCATGCAATTTTAATGACTGGTAATTTGGTAAGCAGAAGCAGAAGCCCAGAAAGCCAAAATCAGTAAGCAAAAGCAGTCAAGCAAAAGCCCATAATCGATATTCGATAAGCAGAAGCAGAAGCCCAGATATGAGAGTATGATAATGAGACCAACCTTTTGCAGTCTCGAGACTCGAAGTCGATACGGCAAGAAGAAGCTCACGGCGAGATCAAAGACTGGCGCTGGCGGCGAGGGCAAGGTGTGACCGTGTGAGAGATTGAGACAATTTGAGAGTGAGAAAGGTCCGCCGGTCGCGAACTCGCGGTTGCCTGGGATTCAAGACTGAGAGAGACAGAGAGTGATTGAAGTTGAAGTCTTGAAGACTGAGAGAGAGAGAGAGAGGAGGCTAACCTTTTGCTGTCGACTGTCGAGACTTGAAAACGGCAAGAAAAATCTGACGGCGAGATGAGAGAGAGAGACTGACGACGCGAGTCGCCTGAGAGACAGAGCGAGAGAGAGAGGAGGCTCAGGGCCTCAGGCTGCGCGAGACTGCGATCTGCGAACGAACTCTGGACTGAAGAAGAAGAACTGAAGGCAGGGAAGGGAAGGAACGAGAGTCTAGAAAGGAGAGGCAGGGAAGGGGAATGAAAAATAAGGAGGAGGAGGGTTAGGGTTACAATAAAAAGATTAAAAAATGACGCGAGTCGCCTGAGAGACAGAGCGAGAGAGAGAGGAGGCTCAGGGCCTCAGGCTGCGCGAGACTGCGATCTGCGAACGAACTCTGGACTGAAGAAGAAGAACTGAAGGCAGGGAAGGGAGGGAACGAGAGTCTAGAAAGGAGAGGCAGGGAAGGGGAATGAAAAATAAGGAGGAGGAGGGTTAGGGTTACAATAAAAAGATTAAAAAATTAAAAATCATCTCACAAATCTTGGAGGCATGAGGGTTCGAACCCATGCCTCCAGCTTGTAAACTTTCACTGAAACCAACTTGGCAACAGGTTCTGTTTTGTTATGATTGTATGACTAAAGTATTTATAAATATTCAAAAAAATTATATATATATATCGGTTCGGTTCGGTTCAGTTCGGTTTCCGAGCCTCAAAAACCGAAACCGAACTGGTCAGATTCGGTTCGGTTCGGTTTGACAATTTCGATTCGGTTTTTTTACGGTTTGGTTTTTTTTCAATCTCGGTCCGGTTCAGTTATCGGTTTTTTTCGATTTTCGGTTTTTTGAACCCACCCCTAATGGATATTGCTAAACTCTGGTAAAAAAAACATTTTTGAAAAATATAAAGAAAATGAAGACGGTGAATAAAAAACAAAAAAAAGGTGGGACTAGAAAACAAAGATGAGAACAGAGGGAACCAAAGAGCATTTTGCTCAACAGCTCGTGTACCTCTCGCCCCATCTCTCCCTCCCCGCCCAAACCCTAGCTCTCTCTCTTCCCCCCCTCGGCTCCCTGTGTCTCTAATCTTCGATCTCACTCAGATCCTTAGAACCTCCAAAACACCTACACCGCGCTTACCCCGCTGTCGAAAATCTAGGGTTTTATTCAAACTATCCACCGCACCATGGAAGGCCACCACAGGGCTTGACACCCACCCTTCTCCCTCGCTCCAAATCCAAGAGCCAAAATTCATCGAAAGGGGTTCGAAATTAGACCATGTATAGGGAACGTGGCGGGTCGTCGAAAACAGAGATTGTTGGTGGGTCGCTAGACCGCAAGCGCATCAACGATGCGCTGGACAAGCACCTAGAGAAGTCCACCCCATCCACATCGAGAGCTTTGGCTAACAGTAAGGACAAAGAGAGGCTCTCTGTGCCCTCCACTTCCGCTGGTAAATCTCAGCTTGATCACCGTGCGGCGGCAGCCACGGCCGCCTCGCTCGCCAAGAACAAATGCTCTGATGGTTGGTCTTGTTTTTGCTCTCTAGTTGTTTTCGGTTTGTTTGGTTTAAATTTGTTGGATTTTGGTTTAATGGTGTTTGTTTTCGTATTTTTATTGGGAGTTGCTAGTAATGTGTTTTAGGACTAAGATTATTAGCACAAACTTTCTTATATGATCTGGGTTTGTTCCATGTATAAATGGTTTTCTCGTTTTCGCATGCTAATTTTGTAATTCAATGTCCTTTATGTTTATGATTACGGATTAGTCACCGAAAATATATGGAATGTGGGTCTAATGTTATTGTATGCTGAGTTTATGTTTGGCAAAGGGGCCCTGATTATGTAATATGCTACTTTTAGTTATTTTTTGCAAAAACTAGGATATTACTAAGTTGAAAGTTCACTCATTTATTGCTCGTTTGGAGTAGCGTGATTACTTGAAATGGAAAGATTCTTAGCTGTTCCAAGTCTTAGAAGTTTTCAATTTTAATTCTTTTCCAAATTCTAGTCTCACACTTGTGTAACTTTACATCTTTTTAGTGTTTGACTAATGAATACACATGAAATTTGTAGAAGAGGACTAAAAATCTACTTGGTAGACATTTGCATTGGAAATTGTCATTTCATTCTTACATAGTTAGTTTGCTTTAATTGCAGAGGAATCTGAAACAGACAGTGAAGAATCAGATGTCAGTGGTTCTGATGGAGATGACACTTCTTGGATTTCATGGTTCTGCAATTTGCGAGGGAATGAATTTTTTTGTGAAGTTGATGATGAATACATCCAAGATGATTTTAATCTCTGTGGATTGAGCAGTCAAGTTCCATATTATGATTATGCACTTGATCTGATTTTGGATGTTGAGTCTTCTCATGGTAAGAATTTGTCTATGCTAATGGGGCTTTTAGTTTGTTGTGTGTGAATGCATGCGCATATTTTTCCCCTTTAGAACCATCTTTTTTACATCTTTTAAAGTAAAGGTAAGGAAAATTGCATACTATTTGATTGTTAAATTGAGGCCACTCTCTTTTAATAAATCTCCTTGGAGTGAAAGGCTATTAGTGTTTTATGGAAATTAATCAATTGTCTGCTTGAATTATATAAACTGATTTCGAGACAAGCCAGGTAATATGTTACTTAATGTAGGGGGTTTGCATGTATAGTTTAGTTGGTTGGAAAGTTTCTTGAAAATAGATTCCATGAAAAGAAATTGGTGCTGTTCTAGTCAATATAAGTAAAGTAGTCTAGTGGATCACAGATTGATATGAAACTTATGAAGTAGTTGGCGAAACATAAGATTGGTGACACCCTATTGAGTTTTCAATTGGTAATGGTGGCCCTATATGAGATCTGAGTCAAGGGGCCTTGATATGTGTAGTATGGTTACTGGTGGTGGACATCTTGCTGGATATTGGGTGACAACATTCAACCGTCTTCAGTGGACAGCAGCAGCCCATTAATATTGTTATTTTCTTGTGTTGGTTCTGCATTTAGCATTATAGTGAGGAATAAAGATTCGTAATTAGGTTTTGGTATGGTTTTTTGGACTAAAAGTTTTTATGGGTATGAAATATGAATGCTTAATTTTGAAATATCAACGTGGGACTCTGAGATCAAAAGTGAAAGCATGCAATACCTAGATAAAACTGGGGTAGAACTCCAAATAACGTATGAAAGGGATGATGTTGGGGTTGAAACTTGGATAGTGGTTTGTAAGGTACGATGAAACAAAGTATACCCAGGAGATAATGCTCTAATATCCTCTCTATCTGTCTGTCTGAACAGCTGTCTCTCTCTGTTTATCTGTTTTGGTTGTGGTCGTTTTTCCTTTTTGTCATTGAAATTGAGGCACTTAATAAATGGGGACTGTGTCCAGGTGATATGTTCACTGAAGAGCAGAATGAGTTGGTTGAATCAGCAGCGGAGATGCTATACGGTCTTATTCATGTTCGATACATACTGACTAGCAAGGGAATGTCTGCAATGGTAAGAATCTGACTATTGTACGTTTGCATTTTGGTTTCTTATTATATCTTTTTTTTTTTTTTGTTAGAATATTGATCTTAAAGTTCTACAGTTGGAGAAGTACAAGAACTATGACTTTGGAAGATGCCCAAGAGTGTACTGCTGTGGACAACCTTGCCTTCCAGTTGGTCAATCGGACATTCCTCGTTCAAGCACTGTAAAAATATACTGCCCCAAGTGTGAAGATATATATTACCCTCGATCGAAGTACCAAGGCAGTATCCTTTAATGCATAAATTTTGCATCTGCACTGAAGTTCTTTTCATAGTTCTCTCTTTTCAGTTTTGGGTTTTCAATTACCAGATGAGTCTTCTTACAAATTTTGACGAAAGAAATTTACCCTTTTTGGTCTTTTGTAGAAGTTGTATTTAAGTTCAGTGTTGTTCTCTTGTAAATATCATTTGACAGTCTAATATTATGCTTGGGGTCAAGACTTAGTGCAACTGCTTGTAAAAAAACTACTTTAATTGGTCAACAATACGTCCTTCATTTGCAAGTGTCAATACCAGGATCATGAAATTTGGACATGGATTTTATTTGATCATTGAGTGGGTGGTGTAACAACTGAATTTGCGGGCACTTGAATGTCTGATGGTGGTTATAAATGAGCTTTAATAAATCATTAGTAGGGTGTAATGTCCTTCCTGAGACTGATATTATAAACAAATATCAGATTTGCATAACTCTGCTTATGAAATCACTTCATCTCTCTCTCTCTCTCTCTCTCTCTCTCTCTCTCTCTCATGGTTATTATTTTACCATATTCGAGTTTTGTTTGACTTTCTGATTTTATATCTCAATTTCCTGAACACTTTGAAGATATTGACGGAGCGTATTTTGGAACCACATTTCCGCACTTATTCTTGATGACGTATGGACACCTTAAGCCACAAAAGGCGACACAGAGTTACGTTCCAAGAGTTTTTGGTTTCAAGCTCCACAAGCCGTAACCACAGTGCAAGCTGCAAAACCTGTGATGAGGTTTACTATTAACCAGCCTTGGTTCTTATCTTGCTTCATGCCTCCATTGGTAAAAGGACTGGCTGTGACAAGTGAGGTAAGATGCAGTAGCTCAGAAAGTACTACAAGTGATCTACCATTGGAAATGCTTAATGTGCAAGTTGGCCTATTTGCAGAGCAAAGTAGCAAACCTTTCTTTGAATTTTAATCATGAGATAACGGAGCGCTTGTAAGTTATTTCATTTTGTTTATTGAGATTGATGTGCTTTGCATTAGGGGTTCGTGTTTATCATTCCTTTTACTATGATTAATCATGCTCCGATCTTATGCCCCTTTGACACAACTTTCCTGTTTATATATTTAATGTGCTACTATCATTTGCTTGATGGATGTAATGCCAAGAACGGTAGTATTTGAAGTTAAAATCGCACTTAGAACATGAGTTTTTCATTTTGTTCATGCAAGGTGGTGTTTGGTCCCTGTAGTTTGGATGTTTTTACAAGGATAGTGATGGATTTGGCTTCTGTAGTTTTGTTGTTTTTACAATTAGGTTTTCAACCAGGTCCCTGTAGTCGTGTTTTGTTTTAATCAAAGAGATTGAGAATTTGTCACTGTTGGACGAATATGTCACGAGGCACGCGTGGAAATTGATAGGTAAATTTACCTTTCAATTACCGTTCCATGCGTGCCTTTTGTGAAATTTCTGTTTAGTAGATATGAAATTTTCAGTTACTCCTTGATGTAAACAGAACTTTCACCGCAGATGTCCGACCTGAAAAATAAAGCTAAAAAAACACTCGAACTACGGAAAAAAATTGGTCATTGTCCGGAAGGGATGCGAACTTTCCTTTGGATCATCTGAAGACATGATTGGAACTGGTACGGCTAAACTTATCCAAAGTATGTACTGATGGAACCCTTTTTGTCAATAAAAAAATAGAGAAGATAGTTTTGTTTTTTGTCACAATAAAAAGTTAAACATAGTAACGTAATTTTATAAAACAAAATTTTGTTGTTTTTTGTTTAATCCTCACAGGTGATTTTATTGTATCTAATTTAAAAAAAAAAGGGTAAAAAGTAGAAAAAAAAGAAAAAAAAAAACCTCTCTCTCCACTCCCATGTTCTCTCTCTTCCTCTCTTCTTTAATTTTAAATACAAAAGTAAAAAATTTCACGCACTTTGTATGTAAACATATACTAGTTAGTTTGAAAGTGAAGTTGTTTCACTGTCTAATGAAATTCATACAAACTGGTGGACATTATTATTTTGTCTATGGTTTTGCAAGCTTTGGAACAATCTAACTCGTTGACTCTATTGAAATGGCCAAAATGTGTAACTACATACAAACTATGCAACTTTGGCTCTCTCTTTTTGTTCTTTTTTGGAACATAGCAGATTGGGAGACTCTAAGGCTCCGTTTGGTAGGTTAGATGAGATAGGTTGTGATCAATTAAAATAGATGTGAGTTCAATCCGATGTTTGTTATGTCAAATGTGAAATGGATAAGACTGGACGTGATGAGTTATATGAGTTCATAATAGAGTAGATTATCCAATTTATCTTTATACATGAGTTACAAGTCATGTCTTACAAATCCACGCCAATCTAATCCTATTCCTAAAGCTAAATCTCATTCATCCCACCAAATGGGCTTTGTTTTATAGTTTTGGTTCTTAATCCTTAAACAAAAATCAATGTAATTATTTACTGTAAAACTTTTATTATTATATAGCGGGAGAAATGGGTAGTAATTATAGCCGAATGTGGAAATAGTCACAAGCAGATATACAACTTGTGATCGTTAAAAATCTTCCTCAAAGTGAGAAGAATACAAGGTATGATTGCAATTGACCACCAACATTTTTACTCTTCGAACACATATACCTCGATTGTAATTAACCCACCAACATTCTTATTACTTGATATTCTAAGTAAATGGAATTTCTAAAATTTTGCATTTCAAACACAGTAACTTTGGATTTTGTTAAGTTAAGTTGGTTAGAATTGCATGCTCCTCCTTTTGAATTTTTGGCATATTATTTGTTGGCAGTGTGATGCATTCACGTCAAGTATAATATCCTTCCTTTACACACTATACAATCATGGTAAGGTTACATTGATTAACACAAACTGTTATTACTACTACAAAGTCAGTAGTTACGTTGTGGACGTCTTATTACACTGTTAATGTAGGTTATTATACTTAGACATGATTGGATTACAAAATTAATGTTTATGATCACACTATGAACGTCTTGTTCCAGTATGTAATAAATTATTCACTAGAATGCATCCAAAATCACACAATGTTATATTACAATATCGTATAACAATGTTACATTATAACGTTAACATTCAACATCAGTATTACAAAAGATGTAAAGTCATAATCGTTTGAATTTACAGTTCCAAGTTACATAACAATCGTAATTCATAATTAATTACACATACAAACGATGATTGCATTATACTACCAATTCGAAAATACGAAGTACGTCCGCAGACAACACTTGGCACTCCAAACAGAGGAAATAGTTATTGTTGCTCTAATAGATTATTGTAATTGCAGTTAATTGTAATGGTTTTCTTGTCTGAGACAAATTCCAATGATTGGACAAGTTCAACTCATTATTTTCGACCTTGGTTCTCCAAATTTGTAAAAAAAAAAAAAAAAAAAAAAAACACACACACACACACAACTGGTTGGTTTGATCCAAAAAACATAAAACATATGCACATTTTTGGAAATGGATCATTTTCGGATCTCTTCCTCTTAATTCATCAAATCAAGGGATTCGTGCTTTTGAAATTTAATCCAACGGTTACAAATATGAGCCCACTTTAAAAGTTGTAATAACTTCAGCCGCTTAATCAATTTCAACAGTACAGATCCCTTGATTTGGTGGATTAGGAGGAAGGAATCCAGAGAGGATCCCTTTCCCACATTTTTAAGTTGTGATTAAGGAGACTTTTTTATTATGATTGGTACAAGGATGATACACCACGTGTTTTTATATAAGTCGTGGGAAATTTTTCTTCAAGTTATTAACTTTTTAACACATATATCCCACAATTTGTATAATGACACGTGATGTACCACTCCGTGTTCCCGTCATAGTGAAAGATCTCTCGTGATTAAGTGGTTGAAGGGAAGAGCCGGGTTTGATGGAGCAAATGATAGATTTGTCTTGTCAAGACTTCAAAATAATTGTGCTGTCTATTTAAACATATGTATGCTATTTGGTTCATGAATTTTAAAATCATTGAAGCATTCTTTTCTTGATGAACAAGTCAGGATGGATATGTTTGGTCAAATAAAATCGAATCACAAGATCATTGCTATGTTTAGGGGGAGGATTGTCAAGTCTGAAGAGATTTTAATTTGAAGTATTCGTTAGATATGAGATATTAAAAATCCTTTCATGACCATTTCAAAGGAAATGTGACAAGCATTTCTAATTTTCTTATCTAATATTTGGTGATCCATTTCATAGTAATTCGATCTTAATTCCTTTTGGATATGGAAATCTCTTGAGACATTGAAATCCCTAACCCAAACATAGCCTAAAGTATGTCGGGAAAAAATTGTGGAGCGCATTTTTTTTAAGCATGGTGACATTTCATTCTATATGTTTACCCTTTTGTGAAGATTTTTATTTTATTTTTATCCAAGCGATAGTCTATCAACATTCAAATTAAAGGGTACAAAATTTATGTGAATTTAAACAATATCAATAATTTATTTCTTTTATGAATACTTATTTTAGCAAAATTATCAGTTGACCAGTTTTACTCTAAAAATTTGTTGTTTTGTTTTATTTTGTCAATGATTATCATGGGTACTGGATGTATTCGAATTCAGAATCTCTCTTTAACTCTATGAATAAAAATATCATTAGACCAGTAAATAGCGATAGAGCTACATTACAACCAGACGTGGCCTTCCCCCAAAGAATTTTTCTTAAAGCCTATAATTTCCATTTTCTGTATATCATCCATTCCATCTTTTTTTAAAAAAAAAAAAAACTTGTATAAGGGTTTGAACCTCCACACATAAAGTCCTAGCTCCTCCATGACAGTACTAGTTGATATATAATTAAATTCACACATTTGAATTAATTTTTGAACATAGAAATAAAAAATAGACTAAAGAACAAATGAAACATTGTTTGATATAACTATACATTTACATTAAGAGTATAATACATTGATATCAAATTGATCATTCAAGATTTTCGAACTTAAAATCTCATACTATACCGTAGTACAAAATGACAAAAAATGAGTACCTTTTGGCTAATGGCTTTTTCACTTTCGACTGATATGACACGTCATTGATGATGAACTATTTTGGAACAAAGCTAAGCCTCTTTGTTGGGCAAAAAGCAACTTCAATCATGTTGAGATTTCCTTTTGTCATCTCATGTCAAATTATGGATAGGCCAAGAATCGGAAATAACCCTAAACCAGTTCATTCTTCAATTAGGAAAACCCTAACCCTAAGGTATCGTTTGGTATGCAGACGGGACGGGACAGGATGGAACGGAACGGAGCGGGAGCAAAGATGCCCTCGGATGGAAACAAGGAGGAAGAAGAAAGAGACGGAGAGGTTCTAATTTTGTGTTCCACGGATGTGGAACGAGTCGTTCCAGGGGGATGAGGTGGAACGAAAATTCATCCAAAACTCGTCCCGTGGAACAGCTCGTTCCACCCATTTTAGGCGCACCAAATGTGGGACGGAACGCCTTGTCCCACTCTGTTCCGTCCCGTCAAACGTACCAAACGGTACCTAAGCGATCACAAGAGTTTGTAGCTCTTTCAGAAATGAATATTATCAGTCTCATATTGATTCGGTACACGGGCTGTGGAGCAATCTTTTGTTAAGACCTCTTTTCCCCAAATATTAAAAAAAAAAAAAAAAAAAAGCATGGATACCATCGGAATTGATTTCACATTGGTGTGCTAGACCCTTTGAATGGTTCAGAAATAAAGCATTCGAAGACGAGAATTTAGATACTTGCTATGGTGGTTATGACATCATCCAAGACTAATCACCACATTTCCTTCAGGAGGACCACTTTCTTAAATGGACTCCCGATACAAACTCTCTCCCCTTTTCTTAATGTCGATTAGTACAAAAAAATATATAACTTGTAATAAGGAAGAAAATTAATAGCAAAGACTTTGTCTCCTCTCCTAAAGAAAATAAAAGACTTTGTCTCCTAGCTGGTACTACCCCTCGGTCTTGTAACTTACCACCCACGTCTTTCTCTATTTTTAACATTCAAGAGTGAGGTTTAGCAATTTATTAGATGAGACCATGTTTATTTAGTAGAAATCATCCTTTGTCACCAATGATTTTCGCTAACATGTAAAGGGAATGATTATTTTCGTATAGAGTAGTTGGAAGATAGCCCATGCGGTAAAAATGCTAGAATTTAAACCAAAAGGTGAAAATTTTATTAACTCTCTGTTTAATTATTAACACATAAAGACTCATATGTGAGATTTAAAAAGATAAAGTTAGTCTCATATGTAGCCCCACATGCTAACAATTACAGCATAGTTGATGAAATTTTCAATTTTAGGCCTAAATTCTAACAAACATCACCACAGAGACTTAAATCCTAATTTTTTTTTTTACCACATGAACTATCTTCCAACTACTCTATAATTCCGGGAACTAATAATCTAATTAGGCACTGTCTAACTATGGTTGAAAATAAACGAATGCAAGAACTCCTCTTCTATATAGAAAATCACATGCTTTTGTATAAACTCCTTTTGAATCAGTCTGAGGAGGAGAAGGCGGTACATGTTTTCCATAAACTTTGGTTACTCTTAAAGCAGCAAAGACCCTTGACAATTTAGAGAGATTATATTCATACACTCCAAATTACTTTTCTCACATATTTTTAATATTTTTTTTATCAAGTGTTAGTGGTGTGTAGAAAATATTAAAAAATTAAAAAAGTGTGGGAGAAGTTAATTAGGGTGTGTGAATATAATCTCTCGACAATTTAAAGAACATATTTAATGAGTTTTTATCGATAATAGCCAAAATTTAACATCAAATTTCATAAATATCATATATTATACAATCTTTCAAAAATAACAGAAATTTACTTAAATAGACTTAAGTACCCTCAAAATTAAAACAAAATAAACATGAACTAAATTCAATGAATTAAACTCTTAAAATTAAAACCAAAACCAAAGAATTTTAATTCAGTTTGCATTATTCTTTGGGCTGTTTGGCTGGAGAGAAATTCTAGAGTGTGGAATGGCAGGACCGGTCACCCACTTGTTGTTTAGTGGGCTACTACATGGTTACAGGAATTTATGGCAAATGTCTCTCGCTCGTCGTCGCCATTGCAACTATTGTAGCATGAGTAGAAGACCCCTAGATAGGGTTGGGTTAAGGTGAACGTGGATGGAGCTACAAGGTTAGAGAATAGTCTGAGAGAAGTGGGTGTAATTATTAGGGATTGGCAAGGTGCTTTTGTTGCTGCTGGTGCATGGAACGAGGTAGGATTTAGGTCTGTTGACCAGATTGAAATGGGAGCAACACTTGAAGGTATTAGTCTTGTAAGGAGAATGGGTTTCGCTTTAGTTGAATTAGAAAGCGATTCATGTCAAACAATCAACCTACTCGACCAGTTCTATGTGGAACTCACAACATTGGGTTTGATTGTAGAGGATGTTTACTTTTTGTAGCGTCCTTACCTTCAAGATCTTTCTCTGGCGGCCTCACACTTAGAACAACAATGCCTAGGAGATCTATTCAAATGTTGGGTTTTGGATCTTGATGGTATTTAGGTATATTCACGTGAGTTTTTTGCTATATTTGAAATTTTTTTAAAATAATGATATTTATGAAATTAGATGTTAAATTTTAAATATTAATGATAAATACCCATATTTAATTGCATAATACGCGTATTTACTGTTTCAGGCATATAATTATTTTACCCTCGCCGTCTTATTTGTCGCTTCGAGTTGTCAGATATAGCCTATGGACCCCTCTCTATCTCTCTCACTCTTCTTCTTCATGTCTTTCTCTCTGATATTTCAAAATTGGAAATTTACGATTGTATAAACACTCCACTCTTTTGCCATTAATTCTGCGCACGCCCCGCTCTTCCCAACATCTCTTCTCTCTCCCAATAATCTCAACCCTAACAAAAATTAAGAGAAACATTCTCCCAACCCCACAACCAAATCCAACGCACAAAAAAACCCTTCTTCTTCTTCTTCTTCTTCTTCTTTCTGTTCTTGTTTGTTGGTGTTTTTCTTCACTGTATTGTGTTTTTCCATATGTAATGCATCAGAAGAAATCAGAAGCTCAGATCGGAACAGAAAGCATTGGCGTCTCTTCCGATTACAACCCAATCTCAGCCTCTGCCGCCGCCGCCGCCGCCGCACCACCGCCATCGCCGCCTAATTCTTCCTTCTCCTCGATTTCGCACCAATTCAATCACATCTCCCAATTCCCTCGCTACCCATCTCAACATTTTCCCCACCATGACCCCCCAATCCCTCAAACCACACCTTACAAGCGACCTGTTTTGACCCAAGCCCCCTCCTCCCTCTCCAAATCCCCGACCCTCCACAAATTCCCACCTCCGCCGCAAAAACCACCTCTCTTTTCCCCTTCCATCGCTGCCAAATCCGCCTTCTTTCGCCTCCTCCGTCGCGTTAACCGCCTTCGCCGCCTCCTCCTACTGCTTTCTTTGCCCTTCTTTTACTTCCTGGTCTCTCACCCTAGCCACTCTTTCTTCCTCGACTTCCTCTCCGCCTTCGCTTTCTCCGCCGCATTGCTCTTCTCCCTCAATCTCGCCCTCCCTCGCCTCCCGTCCATACGGCTGTTCCTCGCCAGGTCTTTCCCAATCAAGCTCAAGACCTCCTCTAGGCCGCCGCTCCCGGTGTTTTGGTCAATCGGGTCGCGGCCCAAAGCCGAAAAGAGAGGTAATTCGGGGTGTTGGGTTCAGGTTTACAGCAATGGAGACGTGTATGAGGGTGAATTTCACAAGGGGAAATGTTCAGGAAGTGGGGTGTATTACTATTACATGAGTGGGAGGTACGAGGGGGATTGGGTTGATGGTAAGTATGATGGTTATGGCGTCGAGACGTGGGCGAGAGGAAGCCGGTATCGCGGGCAGTATAGGCAGGGCCTGAGGCATGGTTTTGGGGTGTATAGGTTTTACACTGGGGATGTTTATGCAGGGGAATGGTCTAATGGGCAGAGTCATGGGTGTGGAATTCATACCTGTGAGGATGGGAGTAGATATGTTGGGGAATTCAAGTGGGGTGTCAAGCACGGCCTTGGTCACTACCATTTCAGGTAACTTTGCCACTGATTTTCCGGATTTTTGCTCTATTATTTTGTAGCTTATGTATTTTGTTATTGCGATACCAATATTGTCTTATTGATGTTGTTTCCGCATTGTCTCTGAAGTTTTTTGGTTGGTCTGTTCCTTGTTTGTGATAAGATTGTAAAACTGTTAATTATGGATTGTGCCACTTGATGTAGGTAGATTTGTGGATTCATAAACATCATCAACAGGATTGAGTTCTTTCGGTTAACGTTTGTAATAGGACTAAAAAAATAATGGGCTTTCATCTCTGTTGTACGTGATTGTTGCTGGATATTCTGGGCAGCAAGTACTTTAGGCATTGGGTGTTAGGATTGTTACTGTTGGGGAAAAAAAGAAGAAAGGATGTGAATAGATTTAAATAAACGGATGTGGGTGATGCTCGAGGGAGTGCAACATATTACTCCAAAAGATCATGAAAGTGGAGATGATTTCAAGGTAGTGCTAGGGTTGTTCGCATAACACTTATAGAAATGAACGGCATAAGTGGTGGAAAACATACTGTCTAGTGCTTGAATTACGGAACTCATCCCAAGATAAGATTTGTGAACAATATTATAACCTTTGTTTAGCATGGGACGCTAAACTGTTCCTTGCTTGTTTTTGACCATGTGTTTTAAGGAGAACAGTGATATATGTTGATAATGAAAACTTATATACTGAGATCATTTTAGTTCACCTTTCATCAGATATTGAGATGCAGACATGTTTTATAAATGGGCAATTATTTTTGTGTTTGGTTTCGACCTTATATATGTACGGCTATCTCTGTTGTGGCTAAATAGAAATCTATATGTAAATGCTCAGAATTGATTTTTGACAGAATTTCTGCTTTTTTTCTATTAAAAAAATTCAGAAATGGTGACACGTATGCTGGAGAATATTTTGCGGATAAAATGCATGGGTTTGGGGTCTATCGATTTGCAAATGGGCATAGGTATGAGGGAGCTTGGCATGAGGGTAGAAGGCAAGGGCTTGGTATGTACACGTTTAGAAATGGGGAAACTCAAGCTGGTCACTGGCAAAATGGAGTCCTTGATATTCCAAGCACACAGAATGCAATTTATCCTGTATCTCCCGTTGCTGTTAATCATTCCAAAGTACTTAATGCGGTTCAGGTACATACTATTTACATAAAATATTTGTGTTTACCCTCTGCATTTTTCTGTGGCATGCAATCGTAACAGATGTGTAACAATTTTGTGCCCTTAGTTGGTTTGGCCATTGAACATTATTGTAGGTCAAGATGTTTATAGTTTTTGGTGCTCACCATATCACTTTGTGTCAAGTTAAAGAAGACTGCTGAAGCCAGGATCCTAGAAAAAAATTACAATTGGCGTGACGTAGAATTCATTCTAGCTCATAATTGTAACCTGTAATATTTAATGAATTTTTGCATGATTATGTTTCATACTTTTTGGCAATGAAAGAAACACATGTAGCACTCATACTCTGCAACTTCAAATAATCCTTGATTATTTCCAGTAATCACGTTCTTAGGGAAGCATGAAATTAGGTTGACAATTATTATAACACTGAATAGCCAATGGTATTTCTTGTTAATCTGTTTTATTATTCTGTGTTATACTTACAATCAGGAAGCAAGAATAGTGTCCGAGAAGGCCTATGATGTAGCCAAGGTGGATGAAAGAGTGAACAGGGCCGTAACGGCAGCTAATAGGGCAGCAAATGCAGCTAGAGTAGCAGCAGTGAAAGCTGTCCAGAAACAAATGCAGCATAACAGTAGCAGTGACCACATGCCAATTCAAATTGTATGAAAATCCCAATGAGGACTTACTTATCCATGCAAGTTTGCGAGGTGTGAGAACAAGAGGAAGTTTTATGGTTTCCCTTCTCCGGCAGCTTCAAGTTTTATGTTCGTGTTCTCTTCAGCATCTTGTGTTGAGATGATGATCCTTCTTTAAACTCATTTATGGGGAGTATCAGAGTTTACATCTATGTTGTTCGTTAGGTTGTGTATGCATATAGGGAGAAAGAAGAGGGAATGCTGGTCGGCATCCGAGTACTTCACTAATTTTTCGCTCTGCAATCTTAGCGCGTGTTGTGTATAGATGAGGTAGATGTAATATATAAGTTCTGTGTCCAGGTAAAACCTCGACGCAGCCAGTGTTGTATGTTTACTGTTTAGTATTTTAACAAGGAGATAAAATCTTCAGTAACCAATAACCATTCTACTTACGCATTTTTCTTTTGTTTGTCCATGGACATAAGCACCAAGCGAGTCATTTAATCTTATATATCTTGATTCAAGATGGTCGAATTATCCGGCGGTTTCTCAGTTTGACATTTGTGTATAAACTTTTCATTTTGTGATTTGAACGAGTTATTTTTGCATTTGCATGTACGAAGGAAAGACTCGTACTCATAAAGTGCAGGGCCAAGCAATGTTTGGCCGTATTGCGCAATTCAGAGTTAAAAGCGTAAATTTGCTTTTACGTAAGAATGGATTACCACTAGCGGTACTGTTTAAAAATATTTTTCTTTACTTATAAGTAAGATTTGAAGTTTAACTTTCATCGAGAGTTTGATGCTTAATCATGACTGACACATTGCACAACTTAGCTCGCATTCTCCTCTAATATTGTTGAATGAAAAGAGGATAGATGTATGCGAGGTTTTGTTTTGTTTCGAGGGAATCACAGTCGTGTAAAAAAGTAACTTGTTTAAACTTATGAAAGGGTCAAAAGACTAAAACCAAGGAAACTAATAAACTTACAGATATAGAAAGAGACCCAAGGGGCCGGGCGGGCTCAGCCGGTTCGGGTATGGATTTTGTAAACACAAAAACAGATCCGATCCGGTCCCTTCAATTTTAGTTACCTAAGTTTTGGAAAATTTATATCGAACAAGAGAAATACTCTTTAATTGACGAGTATCGTTGCGGGCATTGCACTTCGAGATCACTTGTACAGACTATCCATGAAAATTCATAGACGTCCATGGCTGTTTTGCTAGCAAATCATAGAACAGGGTTTGGGGTGTGGATATCGTACCTACAAATTTGCTAATTAAAACATACCAATGCAATATCACCTGAAAACGTACTACCCAAACAAAGATCATTTAACTCAGTAACCATTACTCCGCTTAGTCAAAACTAAAGCTCCGCATACAAGTACATAACAAAACATAAGCCAAACTTTAAGAAAATGATAGATGGTTTCATCGAAAACAAGAGAATAATGCAGCTCTAACTCTCGGTCTGCTCCCTCAGCCTTCGGATGGTGCTCCTAACGGTCACAGCACTAGCAGTACTGCAAAATATAACCATTAAACACAATTATTTCCCAGCATAGAAACTTACAGAGGCATGACAAACAGAACTTATCCCTACAAAGTCCTTACTTCAGTGTGTAGGCGCCTCCGGCTTTCACTTTGCCACAATCTTTGCAACCCCAAATTCCAACAGCCTTACGCTTCACCGCGTACTGCAACCATGCATTTTTATTAGAAGGGTTGCATTTCTAAACCTAACCTTTCACAAGAAAACCAGACTTTAGATGGTAGGGTAAGTACCTTCCCACAGAACTCACAGAAGTACTTGCTGTGCTGAGAGACTTCCATCTTCTTGATTTGCTTCCTCAGACTAGCACCATATCGGGTGCCTGAACCCATACAAAAATAAGTAATTCACCATTATAACATAAACATGTAAAATATTGTAACCATTTGATCATGCCAACAACAAATCATCCCGTTTACTAAATAGTTTCTAGAAATAGGACCCCACCAATTCAAAATCCAAATTTTCTTTGTGAACTGTGTGATTGTGTTTCACCATGATTATAAACATCGAACAAACAATCATTGAAAAGTACCCTCCGCCACCCTGTTTGTGTGAGCGTGCACACACACAAGTTATACCGTTTCCCCATAATCCTTCATTTCACCACAAATTCAAAAAAATATACGGGCGAAGGAAAAAAAAAAAAGAAGCAAAATGCACATACCGTACTTCCCAACAATGCCCGCCTTCTTGGTTCTCTTAGTCTGTAATACACACGAGGAAATCAAAGTGGAAAAGTAAGGCAACAAATTCAAGTTCACACTAGAATGATTTATATAAAGGAAAAAAAAAATACAATACACAATGATAACACTAAGGTGTGTTCCGCAAGTAATGAACTTCTTCTAAACCATAATAGAACACAAATAACAAGGCACATAAAAGGGTTAACGCGACAACTCCTTTTAACTCCAAGTATCTACCTACAACGTTGTAGGTAGGTAAACACTTGGAGCTTAAAAGAGTATGGCATCGACCATCTAACGAACTCTCTTGAACTAAAACACATACAATCAGCAATAACAATACACATAAAATGTAAAGGAATAATTTCCCGTCTCCACCTAGAATGATGTACCCAGAAATCAACAAACAACGAGTGCAAAGGACCGACTATCTTACGAAATCTCTTGAACTACAATCAGCAATAACATTCGACAGAAAAAATTACAAGTAATAATTTCCTTAAATTTCCCGCAGTTTAACACAAAGAAAACCCTTTTGACATTCACACTCCATAAGCCACAGATTATATCTACAACAAATTTTGGGGGAAAAAAATCATGGAAAACCCACCAGAATATTTAGACATTTCACACTTTTTACTGATTAATCTAACCCAATAGCTTTTTGGGTCTCTGTATCTTCCTGTCTTACAATTCCCATTTGAACCCAAAAATTAAAAAAATCGAACAAAAAGAAAATAAGTAAAGCAATATGAGATTCGAATACCAATTTGCAGATCTAATTTGCAGACGCACAAACTTTTGCAATACCAGAACTTTTGCAGGGTAAAGGAAACGTACCATTTTGGAAATGGGGACGGAGGAGCTAAAACCCTAGTAATCTCTGTCCCTTCCAGCAGCCCGACGTTTACCCTCGTTACTTTGGTTGGTTTTTATATATGGTGCCTCCCCCGGCCGCAGACTATCCCCCAGCGTGCGTTAGGGCTATTTGTCTTGGGCCTTTTCCTTGGTGGTCCAATTACAGTCCAAGAGATAAATATGCTGAATTGCCGATTTAGTCTATAAATTTTTTTCGAGTGAAATTATGTCTTGAAGGACTTGTTTGGTATCTTATTTGAAATTTTTTATCATTTCTCAAAATATTTCTTGAAAAAAGTTTTCTTTAAGACTCAAAACTTGATTGGTTTGAGATTTAAAAATTTTAAATCTTACGACTTAAACTAGACAAAGAGATCTAAAAAGAGGAGGTCGCCAGAGAGGGAGAAAGAGGAGAGAGGAGGAAAGAAAGTAATAGATGATTGAAGAAAAAAGAAAGAAGAGAGGATTGGATGAGATAGAGAGGAAGAGGAGTGAGAGAAAGAACCTAGAGAATGAAGATAGCGGATTGGAGGAGAGACGAAAAAGGTAAAAAAAGAGGAGAGAGAAAGAATAAAAGAGAGAGAGATATATTTGGAGTGAGAGGGGAGGAGGGAGAGAAAAGAAAGGAGTAAGTTTAAGTTTAAAAACTTTAAAAACTCATTTTTTATGTTTTTAGAGGATAGACTATATTTTTGAGTTGGTCTTGAGTTCAATTTTTGAAAATTGTCCTACCAAATAAGTTTGTAAGGCCTAAAACTTGAAAATTATTTTTAAGTTTAAAAAGTTGGATTCAAGCCGAGTACCAAAGAGGCCCTAAAAAAAAAAAAAATATATATATATATATATATTTATTTATATAAATATAAGTTCCTAAACTCATTACAAACTCCTATTTCATCATTTCTGTTAGATTTCAAGCTTTCCAATCCAATTCTTTGTTAACTTAAGTCATGTGAATTAAGCATGATGCATTCGAAAGGTAAAATCGTCATTTCATTGGTCATAAACACACAAATAGCAAAAACACCCTTCTCCACATTTTCCCGGTCAATTTTGCCCTAATTATGAAATTTGTAAAGCTTAATTTGCAACTTTTTAATGAAAAAAGTTCCGTATAAACATTAAGGGCTTTCGATTTGGCCATCACAAAGCAAATTTCATGAAAATAATTTCAACTTTTAAACAACAAATTTCATGAAAATAAGTTCATACCATATTTCTCTACTTTCAATCCAAATATAAAGTCTAATTCCACATATCATGCCAATTGTTACAGCCCAAAAACCTCACGTACAAGTCCAACTACATCTTGAAGCCCATTCGTTGTAACAATGCCACAAGCCAAGCCTAAAGTAAAGTCCTACGCAGTATTTACAAAATGTGTCTTGCAGCGTGTGGAATATGTGGCATGTGTTGTTTTTGTCTTAACTATTAAGTAAAGTTGGTTAAGTATTTTTTGTTAAATTTTGAAATCCTTTTAATTAATTTCTTTTTTTTTTATTAGTTTCTCTTAAAAATACGAACTTAATTAGTTGGCTGCTAGTTTTTTTTATTTTATATTATGATGTATTTACAATAAGGATTAAGAGAAATAAATAACATCAAACTTATTATTCTCAAGATTCGAACATAAGGTTTCACATATATACATAACATAACATAATATACATACATACATACATACATACATAACATAACATAACATACATACATAACATACAATAGTAAAAGTTTGATTTTTACTATTTTAGTGTAAGCTTTCTATATGCATTAAAAGAGATGTCGGGTTAAAACCTCTATACATAAAGGTATGCTTGTATCATACCAGTAGTACAAAAAAAAAAAAAATACAAGTTTCCCTCACCTCTCTTCTTTTATGTTTATTTTCTATGTCTGACACACGTATAAAAATGAATAAACAAAGTGATACATTAATTTCGTTACAATTCAATCTATAGCAAATGTTTGCTTATTTATAACAATTTGTAATTTTGTATATATACACGGTTGCGTCTTTTAATTATTTATTTTATTAAAAAGAATTCCCTAATTGTATCATTAACGAAAGACCATTACAAAAAAAAAGAAAAAGGAAAAACGAATTCCCTACTTGAATTCAATACGTGTATTTCCAGCTTTTTTTTTTTTCTTCTTCTAGTTCGTGCGTAGGGAGCTTACACGCATCTCTCTCCCTCCATTTATCCAATTTCGCAGTTTCCATCAATCCCAATCCAAACCCAGTTTCCCTCTCTCTCTCTCGCTCTCTCTCAACAATCACAGAAATCCATAGCTCCCACTTTTTCCCATTCTACCTCTGCCCTTTTCTCCAAATTCCAGTTTGACCAGCCACCATGTATAATATGCTGGTGAATTGCTGCCACTGCCGCACCCCTCTCCAGCTTCCCCCCGGCGCCGATTCCATCCGCTGTGCAATCTGCCAGGGTGTCACTATAATTGCGGACTCACGTGGCCTCCATCAGCCTCCAGCCTCCCACGCGCCTCCACCTCCAGCTCCTTACTCTCACGCCCCGTCACCTCCCTCCCCCTACTGTCACGCGCCTCCAGGCCCTCCCCCCAACGCGCACGGGCGGAAGAAGGCTGTGATCTGCGGGATCTCGTATAAGTACTCGAGACATGAGCTCAAGGGTTGCATCAATGATGCCAAGTGCATGCGGTATCTCCTCATCAACAAGTTCCAGTTTCCAGACGATTGCATTGTCATGCTCACCGGTATACGTATATGCATGCATGCATGCAATTTGATTTTGCATAAGATAACATGTTGTGTGTAATTCTGAATATTTGGCCTTGGTGTGCATGTACACGTTCTGTTTTTGTTGGGCGCAAATTTTGCGATGTGATTTGGTTTGGTTTCTGGTGATATGATTTGAATTAGTAGGTTTTGAAGATGCCCTAGTGAAAAAGACTTCTGATTTGATATTTTGGATCGTAAAGGTTGCGGCTTTCGGGGTAGGATTTGTGAGAAAAAAAAAAGGTTTGGATGAGAAATGCAGCTGAATATTCTTAGTTGGTGACAGTTTTGAATCGGAAAATGGATTGTTTCCTATGTATTTAGATAGTTTTTGTGAGAAGGTTCGGATGAGAAAAGAAACAGCTGAGAATCTTACGATGGAGTAAAAGTTTTAGGTAGGAGAGAAGGGAAGATATGAGTGATGTTAAAGGTGTGGATTTAATCACTGATGATAAAAGGAAAAATGGCCCAAGATTTTTTGAACTACTTGGTATTGAATTTGCAATGTGTGCTTTATCTTTGGCAATTAATTATCAAGATTGTCAATAGCTAATCTGGCTAAAGGGAGGGGTCATGAGTATTACGGTGACCTGTAGTTGTTAGTCTAGCCCCGTCTATCTGAATGATCGATCTCAGCTCAGGAAATGAGAAGTAGGTCACCAACTTCTAGAAGATTCATAACTGCCTACATTGGTCTCGTGGGCGGATTAGGCAAATCCTATTGGTATTCACCTATGACTCTCGATTTTCTTCCTCGAACAATAAAAGACATTACTTCTCCCAACTACACTAGCTGAACAAGACAGTTACCAACAATTAGCTCAACATAAGGAATACTGAGATTTTACAGTCCATAGGAACCTTAGGTCAAGAACCGTAGATATGTATATGGAGAACATTTACTGTGTTAGCACTTGCAGGATTATTTTCTATCAGAACTTGCGGGATAATATTGCAACTTCCGGATTGTTGTCATTAAGTTGCACAAAAATCCCTCATTCTTGTAGCTTTACCCTGATCATCATTGGTGGTTTCTTTCTTGATAACCTTTGCCCCCTTGATATCTATTGAAGCTTCTCCCCTTTTTGAGGTTAAGCAAATGACAAAGCAAATGTTTATGTTGGGATTGAGCTGCTAATAGTTTAGAAGGATTAGTTTTATTGCAATTTCCTTTTCCAAAGTTTTTGTCCTTTCAATGTTCTATAAACATTCAAGTACAGAGTCATTTGCACTTCTTTCAGATGCTGTCATTCACCTTCTGAACCCTTTCGTGAATTGTATCTCAAGTTCTTGTTTTTAATAATACACGTAGTGCTAAATTGTACTCATTTTCTGAACTGCAGAAGAAGAAACTCACCCTTCCAAGATTCCGAACAAATACAACATTAGAATGGCGTTACATTGGCTTGTACAAGGCTGTCAACCAGGAGACTCCCTCCTGTTTCATTACTCTGGTCATGGTTCACAGCAAAGGAATTATAATGGTGATGAAATTGATGGTTTTGATGAAACCCTTTGTCCCCTTGACTTCGAAACTCAGGGTATGATTGTTGATGATGAGATAAATGCAGCAATTGTAAGGCCCCTTCCACCCGGGGTTAAGCTTCATGCAATAATTGATGCTTGTCATAGTGGCACCGTACTAGATTTGCCCTTCCTTTGCAGAATGGACAGGTTAGTTTTCGGTAATTTTGATCCCGATATGTAGATTAACATTTGTCAGGTATGCATATGTATTATCTCATTAGTAACTGGAACCATATGAAAAATCAACAATTTCCATTTCTGAACATTATACTTTTGGTGAGATGGACGTCCATCTAGTAATCATGCTAGACCTGCCGAAAAATGGCCAGTTCAGAGGGTAGACACTTAAGGCATTTGCCTTGAGCCCTTTCGAGGAAAGACTTCAAACTATTAAATTCTTGTTTGGGCGTATTTTAAAAGAAATGGGGAATCAAATCCTTAAAAAAGTCTTATCCTTAAGTTCCTGCTGTTATAGTTTGAGTCCAGTGAGTTTGCCAGTTTCCATATGCTAAAGGCAGAACTTTCGCTATTGTTCCGTTATCTGAACTTATGCATGTATGATCTTATAATGTCCAGTTAAACATGGTGCTTATGAGTATTGTCATCATTCTCGAATTCTGTTGTGTTCTTCCCCTGATTTTCAATGTGTCTACCTACTTGATTACCCCTCATCTAAAATAGGATTTCTTATGATAGATAATTTCACTCCTTGATTTAGGGGCGGACGATATGTATGGGAGGATCATCGCCCTTCATCAGGCATGTGGAAAGGATCAGGCGGTGGAGAAGTCATTTCCTTCAGTGGTTGTGATGATGATCAGACGTCTGCTGATACATCAGTAAGTTTGGGGGAAAAAATAGAGTAGGTAAAACTATAGTTTAAACTCCTACTAGAACATTATCTGATCTAATGCTTTATGGGTACAGGCTCTATCGAAGATCACATCAACAGGTGCTATGACTTTCTGCTTCATCCAAGCAATTGAGCGTGGACAAGCGAGTACCTATGGAAGCATACTCAATTCTATGCGCTCTACCATTCGAAGTACGGGTACGGGTGGTGGTGGTGGTGGTGGAGGCCTTGGTGGCGGCAGATTAACATCTCTCCTTGGTGGTGGTGGTGGTGGTGGCGGTGGTGCTGTGACATCCCTAGTCAGCATGCTTCTGACAGGAGGCAGTGCTACTGGCGGGCTTAAACAGGTATTGCCTTGCGTAACATTTATTAGGTTTTCAAGTTACATGCTGGTTTATAGTCATACGGTACTAACAGCCTGATGCTGTCGTTTTGGTTTGCTTTGTGGTAGGAACCGCAACTAACTGCCTGCGAGCCATTTGATGTGTATACTAAACCTTTCTCCCTATGATTCTTTTCTGTCTACATGCAGATTAACATATATATATATATATATATATATATATATATATATTGCGAAAAGAAAAGGTAATTTAGGTCTAGATTCTGGAGGGAGGATACAAATCCTTTGATGAGTAATAAATAGATGAACGCATTTTTTTATTGTTGTGGTGAAACAATGGCAATTGTAAATTGTGATTTTGTGTCCGTTTACTTGTTACTGTTCTCTTCTTAACAGGTTAGTATGTATAGCAAAATCTTGTATTGTGTTTTTGGCTAATCACTTTAGAACTTTGTTTTGCATTAGATTGTAGAAACAATTACACTCCGATTCTACCAGAATTTTGTTTCTTGAAGAAAAAGAAAGGAACACTAGTGTTAATGTGTTTTGTGTTGGGCAGTGTTACTGCAAATCTCCTTAGTTGAACATTTTATGATCCTTGGAGTTTTCGGCATTTTTGTTTATTAAAGTTTTGTAGTTCTCTTAGCTGAGTCCAAAACTGTAAAGAATAGAAATGAAAGAAATTAAGCACTTTTTTTTTTTTTTTTTAATTTTGTCAAAGAAAGAAATTAAGCACTTAAATTGCTGCTACGCAAGAGAAAACACTGCTTTTGTTAGAGGAATATCATACATATAATGCAAGACATTGAATCTACTTGTTACCAAACATGCTCCCCTCGTCTTCCAAGCAAAGCAGCACTTCTACAATATTACCTCTCGCTCTCTTCGAGCACTTCTAGTGTAGCAAGGTCTCTTTGAAAAATAAGCAACTCAATCTTCTTAAATGCCAGTAACTATCTAAATGCATTTTCACTCATAAGCTGAATAACCTTAGACAATTTGTATTAAAATATTATCATCTTTTATTTTATAAAATAATAAAAGATAACTAACTTTATTATTAATTTCGGATAATAATAAAAGATTGGTAGAAAGTATTTGAAATATTGAAATGTAGTGTAAAAGTGAAAGGACATGGTTAGGTATTTATAGAAAAAGGGGGAAATTGTAGCAATGATCCCTCAACTTTATTTCCATGACCATTAGTCCTCAAACTTGTCAAAATGTGTAGCTATGGTCATTTTCGCTAACACCGTCAATGGTTCTGTGAAAATCAATCACGTGCGTGGCACATGAGTCTAACTGTAGGGGCAATTAAGGAAACATATTATTTCCCTTGGGTAGGAGTCGATTGAACGCAGCAAAGGGGGCTGGATAGGGTTTTGCAAGGAGGGTTATTTGAGTTGTTTGAGTGTTCAATCCCTCCAAAACTGATAATACTAAGTGCACTTGGGTTTACAATCAGAAATTTGGGTCTTTTAAGGTTTGATTTCAGGGTTAGTTTAGCGGAGGACGATGGAGTTGTCGGATGTCATGAGATTGCCAACGATGGAATTACATTCCTCCTCATCTTGTCTTCTTGGTACTACTATAACACATCCATGCTTTTCCTCTAGGCCTTTTTCCTCATTGGCAGTGGCTTCCAAATTATTCATGTTGCTCTCGGGTTGAGTGAATTGCCTTCTCCTCTGTGCTTTCTCCTCTATGCCAGTGCAATAAAGCCTTCTCCCTTCTCCTCTATACTAGTGCAGTAAAGCTCTTCCACACCACATCGTCCATAACCGCTTTGAAACTGAATTTCGACGGTTGTTTTCCTTCATTAAAAGCTGATTACTGCAATACAGGTTGGGAATTTGAGAATTGGGCATGGAGGAAGTTTCAATTGGGGGATGGTATCGACTTCAACCTGGGAAATAATATGTTTCCTTAATTGCCCCTATAGTCAATCTCATGTGCCATGCACATGATTGAATTTAATAGATTTATTGACGGTGTTAAGGAAAATGATCATAACTACACATTTTGACAAATTAAGGGACCAATGGTCATGGAAATAAAGTTGAGGAATCATAACTACACATTTTTAATTAGTTTTTATTTTATAATTTTCTAATAGTTTGAATATTTTAGATTGTGTTGACGTCAGCCTTGCGTCACATAAGCAGGGTGCTGGGCTAGGCAATTGTTGTCTAACTTCTCGCCCGAGTGGGCTGGAGTGTTTTGGGGAGGGGGAGGGAGTGGATTCGGTTGCCTATGGGCAAAGCAATAAGCTACGATGGCGTTACTCTTATCAAGACTCGGAATGTGTCAATACCAAGCTACTCAATAGTTTGCCGTTGCGCATTTCATTCCCAACGAGCAAGCAGGAACACTAGAAAGAAGTAATGGTGGCCACAAGAGTTTAATCTTTTTCCTAAAGCATGGATGAGATAAAGAGATGTAGCATTGGTTCTTGAAAAATTTGACTCAACTGGAGTTTTGGTCTTTAATTTAAAAATTCATGAGCATTGGCCACAAACTTGTTAAAATGTGGAGCAAGTGCTTCAAGTTACACCGTTGGTTGTTAGAACTTGTGTCCCTTAATGCTTCTTAAAACTTTTTTCTTTTGAACAGAAGTTATAATAACATCATAAAGGAATATTGTTCTGGATCAAAGCTCCAATTAGGTCAAATACAAGGACTAATACTGCAATTTTCTTTTCTAATGAGACAGGAAATAAATTGAACAATAAACAGATTCTGCCTATGATATGAATTGCATATGCAAAAGGTACGAGGCATTCTGGTCATACTTTGTTCCTGAGTGAAAGCAACAACATCAGAGGATCTTCAGGCAATTGAACATTATTGAGGAACCATAAACTCCTTTCGCTCTCACTTTGTATGGAATAAAAAACCGAAGCTACTCCAAGGCTTCAAAAGTAGTCAAATCATTCAGTCTAAAACTTTACAGAAACCGACGGAAGAAGAGAAACGGAGCATTGAGATGTACAAAGATTGCTAGAAAGAGCAATTGACAAGCGACGAGAAAATGATGCTCAATTGAACCTTTCGTCACTGCAGAAATATTGTTAAGAAATAACATTAAAACATGGAGGATGATTAACCCCCCCACCCCATCCCATTACATAAATTTCCCAGTGCCCTCCATAAAAAATATTTTTGCAAATTCGTCCAGAACCCTACTAAGCACTAGCCATGAATTCCTTCTATCACGATTACAACGAGCATCGCTAATCTCTAAATAAATTTCTCTAGTATCCTTGATTTGAGAGGATCTGGGGGGCGAAAAGTCTCTAACCGCAAGTTGGAGGACATACGGATCTCATTCAAACCGCTATCTCCTTTCTCTGATTTGATAATCTCCAAGACGCTCCCAAGAACGTTGCCTGCAAGCCCGACTTTCAGAAGATGCCCTGGCTGCTCTCCACCCTCTTGTATTAATTGGCCAATCTGATTCAAGGAAATGACATTTTCTAAAATGACTTCCGCAAAGATAAGGCCAAGAAACTCCGGTGCTCTCGGGGCATCGTTCACTGCATCCTCTAAGGTGGACAGAACAGCTTCAAACCTAAGCAGATAAAAGAAGAAATTAAATAATAGAAAAACGCACAATACCGAGAAGACCGTCAATTTCAATAACCAAACGCACATGTAAACTTTTCCTACCCTTTGATGAGCTGAGGCTGACTCAAAGTTCCATCATGGGTCTTTGTAAGCTTGACTAGAAGCTTTGCCAAAAGATGTCTTTCAGTGTCCTTCCTCTCAAAAGAGTCTGTGACCCAAAGAGATATAATCGACGGATGGAAGCTTGGTGAGTTCAGCTCTTTAATGCATAAAGCAACCTCTTTCTCGTCTCGAGCACTGAAAATATGAAGGAAAACAAAATTGAGGAAGAGCATATGAAAAATCTTTAACGAGAGTTTTAGGAAGTTGTATAATACATCACACCCATGTAAAGACAATGCTACAGTTATTACTGTCAACAACATAAACCACATATTAGGTGCGTAAAAATAATAATAAACCACTGCAGACTTCCTATTCCAAAATGGATCCATTCTTTTAGAACAATTCTGCTTGCTTTCCCGTAAGTATATAATTAAAATAAAAAACCATATATGTAGAACACCATCTAAGATGAGTTCTTGGAAAGCCAATGATTGAACATCAACAATATATACTAAATCTTTAAATGCCAAAGATTAAGATCATCCACCATACATAGGTCTGATTCTGACATCAAATGGATACATCAGGGCAAGAATGAGTTTTTTTTTTTTTTTTTTTTAGAAGAAATATAAGAGAATGAGTTGTTTTAATATGGTAAGAAGAAAGAAGAAGGGAGAGGAGAGGAGAGAGGGGGTGGGGGGGGGGGGGGGGTGTGCATGACCGGCCACGATTAAACTATACACATTTAGATATCACATTACTTGTCATTGCACTCACTGCATTCAAGTCAACCTAGAAGTTTCCAAAGTAGCAGGTCAAATGTTGTACAAAGTCTACAATTCTCCATGCCAAAATAACTTCCCAAGGTTTCTCAATATCCATGAACGCACAACAATAAATTCAGCAAAAAATAAGAGGGTACCCCTCCAAAAAATTAAGACATCCGTGACAAAAGATATAAAAAGATTTTCATCTTCAACAGCATAAAATGATCCAAACTTATTTATTGCCATATCTGCATTATTTATGAAGAGAAACCCTAAAGTATATTTTTCAACAGATGTGAAAAAACATAACGATTTGAACCATTGCAATCATATGGTTTAACTAAAACAACTGGTCAACTGCATAAGAAGTGAATTTTCCAACTGAGCTCTAACAATTAAAGATGAGTTAGTTATCAGGAGGAATGTTAAGAGTAGATAGAAATCAATCTTACTGCCTGCATTATTTTATTTTCTTTTCCAAAACAAATGTTTAAAATTAGGACCTCTACGTACACCTCACTCATCCCATGCCACTTGAGCTTGGCTTATGGATCCCATATTCTACCAACTACATTTCCGAGAGTCCGAACGAATTGTGTATACCACTTTACAACATAGCATACAAGTAATCGCACAAAAAAATCCATCACAACTAACTCAACTCCTTTACTTATATTGTTTTTTTTCTTTTCCTTTCTGTCTTCTGTACCACCCGTGGGGTCCATTCAATGCCAGAGGAACAATCCCGATTCTATTTATGCAACTTGAAGTTGACCAAAAAAATTGACAGATGACCAACCATTGCTCCTTAGTCCTATCCATTCCCCACAGACACAGAACGAATACAAAATCACATTAAGCAAATCATAGGCAGATTATTTTAGCAAGCAGAGAACTATCACATCTGAAAGATGCATTGAACTAAGAAAATAACATAAACAAATTAGAACACTCTAAAGCATGCATGAGACAAGAATTTCTTAACCCAAAAGAAATAAGTAACGAGAAAGGACTGCTCTCTCAAA